TGTAACCCTGAGTGGACTCATTCATGTTCATCCTTCCCACTGGGAGCACAGAACCAGTGTGTCTAATTTTTTCAGAGACCGTGGCGCTCATTAAAAGTGCCAAAACGCCGCAATGAGACAAAACACAAAGTGTTTGACCAAACATTCCCTCTCAAGTCAGAACTGAGGTAAAAAAAAAAAAATACCGTTCCAGGGCAGGCTTCTCTCTTTTTTCACAATACCTGTGTTTGCATCACTGTAACCAATGAGCACCTGCATGTGTGTATGAGAATGGCCCTGACACCATTTCAGCCCAGATTTACAAACTCCTGGCAGGACAAGCTCCAGCTCAATTCTCGCACTGAATTTAAACAAAGTGAGTGAGGGACTGCAATATAAGAGGGAAAGAAAGAGAAACTTTAAAACTGTTCAATTGTTATGATGTGTAAAGACTGATATTGTTCTATAATCGTCTGAAACTGTTAAGTCATGATGTGAAACGGTTAACAAAGAAAAAGGGAAACTCAAGCTGCTGTTACACTTTATTTAATTTATCTAAAATCAAGCACTTTTAAGATGCACACATTTTCAAAATCTATTTATTTTTATTTTATTTTTAAATGCAGCCCGAGGGGAACATTACACATATCCACAGTATTTACTGTATATCTGTATAGTTCAATGTTAATTGACAATATATGTTGTTTATGAATTGTACTTTCTTTATTTGATTGGCAGTCAGTTGCTGATTACATGCAGACGTTGATAAAGCTACAGGCTACTTCAATATATATCACACTAATTCATAAAGCAACTTAGACATTTTGATGTTTCGGACCTTTGCATGGGGAGATTTTCTCTAACTGGACCTCGTTGAATTTTAGTTGAATACCCCTGATCTAGTTAATGATTACAGTGTTTGGGCAGAGCTGCAGCTTTGACCTGTATGTTCTGTGTGGTGCCTGACCCATTTGAAAACATTAGGTTTGTGTCAGGATGAAACAGGTCTGAAGTAGTTGTGTTTTTGGTGAAGTTTTTAGTATCACCAATGTTAGGTCTGTCTGTGATACATTTGGTGTGTTGCACAAGTAACGCATGATTTCCCCTACATTGGGTATGACAGTGACATCATATCTCCTGCAGTCGTCCCAAAATTGAGATGCAGAGAACTTCCTCCTCAAAGCCACTGTGATGCCTGCGCAATACGAAACACAATCTGAAAGGATAAGATCGATTATATCTGAGGTTTTTCTGCTTAACATATCAATGAAAAGCCCAAAACAATAATACATGTATCTACAAACACATCCTTGTAGCCGAGCCTTAGAAGACTCCAGTGTTTTTTGAATCTATTGGTTTATATTATAATTGGTTTATATCAAATGCAACCCTTATTGCTGAAGAGGCTCCACACTCACGACAAATAATGTAATCTCTCTTAATTTGCAAGCATATGATAATATTTATTAAAACAAATTAAATACATTTATAAAAAAAAAAACATTTATGATCTACGCACAGCATATCTCATTAACGTTATATAAAATATATGAAAATATAAAAACAGACATAACGACGGAGGGGCAGAACACTTAATCTAGTTCTCTCTGGCAGTCTACAGTACAGGGTGCAGTGACCTGCCAGTATCAGTCTTCAAGGTATCACAAGTTAAATATTACAGTGTGGACAGCGTTTGACCTATAATGCTTTAAAAAAAATACACGTATACTTTATGAAAGGTTCACTTCTAAGTAACTTATTTACTGCGGAGTGCCTCACTGACATTGCGATCAAACACCTGCAGCTTTAAAGCTACACTGAAATGTTCAACAGGCGTATTCGAGATCTAATAAACAAATCACAAAACAAATATTTGGTTTTGTTTAAAAAGGAGTGTTATGTATTTTCTGAGATTATCTGGACCAGGACATAGAAGTTGTTTCTTTGGAAACACTGGAACAATTTCTGCATTAAAGAAAAAGTTCATTTTTGAACGCTAACTTGCTTTCTTGTTGAGAGGTAAATCAAGATTGAAACCACTATCATGTCTGTAAAGTTAGCTTAGCGTAGCACAAAAGCTGAACACATGTGGAGAAAACTAGCCTGTGTCTCTCTGAACCTTATTTCTTGTGTAAAATTATATTTCATTTGTTAAATATTTCTTGTTTGGTTAACTCACAGTATTACTGGAACTATATCATCACATAAGCCCCCATAACATTACAATTTGTTATTCTACTCAACTATATTCTACATTGTTTTGTAAACAAACATTCTGTTCTGGTGGGTTGTTTTAGCGAACTTTGGAAAACCCAATTGGATTTGATTTCCCACCTCATTTCCAGTTTGTACGCTAAACTTAGGTACGGCTGCAGGTTTATATTTTGCGAACTCAAGACTGAGTGTCTGAGAGTATCAATCTCTCTTGCCAAGAAAACAAATAAGCCAATTTCCTAAATGTCAAACTATTCTGTTAACAATGTTAAAGCAACACAAAGAAACACACTGCAAACATCCATGAAGGCAACGGTTCTACATCGAGTAAATGTTAAACACTTAATTTAAAAAAAGGCACGTTAATGTAAGTTTACTGATCTGCCTACTTCACTTCACACCTGCCCTCACTTTGTCATTTCTGCTGGTAGAACGGACTGTCGAAGCCGCTGTCCTGCTGCCGTTGTCTCAGCTCAGAGAACTGAGGCCGGGGACGGCCCCCCCGCTGCTCCTCGCCCTCTGAGCCAGGCGTGGGCTCCCGGTGTGTGCTGAGCTTTGCATGCTTAACGCTCAAAGTCTGGGTGTGAGGTGTCTTTTTGGCCATTTCGTTATAGACAGTCAGGTCAGAAACGTTCGGGGTGAGTCCTCCAAACTCTCCCAGGTGACCGGCTGACGCAGCAGAGACAGAAAAAGGCTTCACCTGCTCCACTTTCCTCCCTGAGTAAGAGAGTGTGGAGGCCTGGAAGCCTGCGTCCGAGTCACTGCTGCTCATGCTCCAGTCCGTCCTCCTCTCGTCTCTGACAGGAACCTCCTGGATGAGGAGCGGTTGGCTCTGTCGCTCTGAGTCAAGGCGGTTGACTCCCTGCAGGCATAGCTCCCTGTTTTTACTCCTCACAGACGCATCGACAAAATCCCCCTGGCATGAATTCGTCTGATGTGAAGGTTTGTAAGAGCGGAGATGTGCGTTACCAGCAGTTTTCAGTCTTGCATCTACTGCCGCTGCCTCCTTCTCAGTGGCAGGAAGGTCTTTGTGACTCGAAGGTTTCGTCCTCGCTGTGGAGACTTGTTTCTGCTCTGAAGCCTTTTCCCTGTGCGATCTCCCCTCTGGCCTGACGTCAGGGAGCTCAGTGAGAGTCAGAGGGTTCTTACTGAAACCTGCATTTCTGCCTGTGAACACAGCCGTCAAACAACCAGTCAATACAAACCACGTATTCCCAGCACATTGAGTTTAAAACCTAAAAGGAGACTCCTTGAATCAAGCAGTTCTACTCGACAGGACTCACTTTGTAAGCTGTAGTTCTTTGATGATTTCATTCTGACGGGCGTCTCCAGTACTTTAGCCATGGCTGCCAGCTTGCTAGCAGCATTCATTATTTTCTTCTCAGCCCTGCAGAGGACAGGAAGATCAATACAATTAGCCGGAGGAGTCCTTAGGAAGCAAGCAAACAAGTTTAGGACATTACGGTCTCTTGCCCTGTATCCTTTCCCCCGTCCTCCAGTAACTCCTGCAGACAGGTCAGATAATAGCGCCGCATCTTCCTGGCGGTGTCCTGCCTCTCCCTCTGCACCTCCACGTGGATCATCTCTGCTGCTCGCTCTCGACTCTCCTGGAGGTAACGCAGCATGTCTCCTGCGGTAAAACACAGTTAGGATCCGTCCTTTTCACTAGGTACGTTTACATGAAAATGACAGAGGTTCGATCAGATTCACAAGTGAGGACACAAATGAATATTATGGGACAGGTCATCATAGTTTCTAGTCGAGTCTTCTTCCTTAAACCCTCCAGGGCAGTTTTATATTGAAATCCGGTGTGCCTGAATACAGAATATTTTAAATGTGTAAACAATAAACACATCCGTTACAAACCTCTGATCTTTTCTACAGTCGTCACGTATTGCTGCTTCAGCTCTTCCAGGCCTTGTGTATTTTGTTGGTGATCAGAACTCCTGCAAGCAAGAAAAAAACGTATTCTTCCATGATTTTATCGAAATTAAATGTCGACCTGATCTTTGGTGTATTTTCAGCTATTTTAAGATTTTGCCCCAAAAACAAAGACAAGAAACCCTAAAGACTTTGCTGCTTTCTAGCAATTTGCCCTTACTTTTAATAGTCCAAGGGTTAATTACTACTTGGGATGGGTCAAATGTTTTGAGGGACTTGATTTGACTATTACTGCTGGAGTAAAAAGTCCAGCTTACGCTTGGCATCTTTAAGATGGATTATAAAAGACCCCCATCACCCCAGCCACAAACTGTTCAGTCTGCTGCCGTCTGGCAGGCGTTACCGCAGCAACCGGACTAAAACCACCAGGTTCAGAGACAGCTTCATCCCACAGGCAATAAGACTGTTAAACAACTGAACTGCTGAAACAATTCCATAACATTCATCTGCTACTTAGTCATTATTTATCTATTATCTATCTATTATCTAATATATCATTCCCATAACTTGTATATAGACTCGTATTGCACTATTCCACTTTTTTTTCTCACTTTTTAAAAAACTATTTTTCTTTTTGTATTACTTTTAATATAGTATATTTTAATATTGTCTGCTTATCTGTATTATTGTGTTGCATTGTTGGAGAAGCCTGTGACCTAAGATTTTCAATGACATAATTACTCAGTAGCTATGTTAGTTTGACAATAAAGAACCTTGAACCTTGAAGATGACAGGTCGTGTGAGGTGCTTGCTCCAAAAATCTAAAACCTTGCGTTGGATGGAATGTCAATCCCAAATGCAAAATGCATGAGCAAAAGCACTTAAGATAAGGGACAACATTTGATATAAAAAAGATATACATTGGTTTAACTTTGAACTAACACGGCATATCACAACAGAACAAAACAATAAACTGGAGCAACAATATTTTATTGAGCTTCATTTGACTTTGAACTGAAGATAAGAAACAATAAAAACACTAACCCTGAGGATTCTTCTGCTCTCTTCACCTCCTCCAGCTGCTGCAGATGTTCCTCCTTCATGGTTTTCAAGCTGCTTTCATGCTCATCTTCAACACACAGACATTGTGTATGTTGAGTTGAGTATATCCATTAGAGTGCCATTTAAAGAGAGAAATGAAATGCCTTTAATACCTTTGAGATGCTGCATGGCAGAGTTGTGCTCCCGGACGCTGTGCTGCAGCTGACGACAGGCTTTCTCTAAGTGTCTCTGCAGCTCCTGGTTCTTCTTCTGCAGCTTTCCTAAAGTCTCAGCGCACTCCTTCCTGCAGCGGGCCGGCTCCTTCCTCTGGGACACAGAGCCTGGAAACAGTGGAGAATGTAAGCTTGCTGATTTTAGTGATCAAATAATGAATATCGTATGTCATACGGACGATCAGAGGGCAATACGTACTCTGCATTTGGTCTATTTCTCTCTCATGATGCTCCTGTGTTTCTTTTAACACAAGGCTCAGTCTCTCCTCACTTATCTGTAGGGGAATAAAGGAAAGTGCAACTCATAAGCATTGAACCACATAGAGAAACAAAATAAAAACATAGCACATTCATAGAAATCATAACTTACTGCACTTTGAATTGCCTTCTGATGAAAGGGGCTATATCAATGAACTTGCCTTAGTGAGGGTTTAAACAGGGCTGTGCATGATTTGATAAACGAATAAAGTAACAGGCTGATTGTAATGTTTGTGATTTGCAAGCTCCCAAATACTTTACTAACTACCAAAACATTCATTTCAGTGCAATTCTGTTGTTCATGTATTTCTTTGTCCTGCATTGTGTTCCAACAACCTTCGCCCTCTGCTGACTCAGCAAATTGATCATTGAGCAGAGCAAGTCATCTTAATCTAAATCATTAACTGGTAACTGAAGTGACCCGCTCCATCGAAATCAGTCGGAAGTCGCAACGGCTCATTTAAAAAATAAACGTGGTTTTGAGTTAAAAAAATTGTTTTTCGGGGTTCGGGTGTTTTGTTTGATTTTTAAATAAACAAATTCTTGGCTTTCAGAATATGAAACTTTTATTTCCAAAATCACACGATAAATAAATGTTTGAAGCTTGTAAAGGGAAGATGACCGGCACCTCTCACCCGCCCCCCTCCCTCTCGCTGAAATTATGAATGCAAGGCGTATAGTAATCATGGAGCTAACACGGCAGGGTCCGTTACAGTTTGTTTTCATCTGATTTCAAATAAACAACTTTGAAGCTTGTATCGGCGTGATTACAAGCGGAGAACGGAGTAACTTGACGTCACAGCAGGCGTAACACAACAGCCGGTGTTTCTCGTGTAAAATACACACTCGCGAGCTTCCGCCAGACCAGTAATCCAAATGAAAATATTTTCCCTCCGTACTACTTTGATAATTTGCTCCGCTAATAACCAATCAGATCGATGGATTCCAGGGAAGAGGAAACTTTGAAGGCCTTTTTTCAAAATGGTGACTCGGTGACAGTCATTATATAATGTGACATATTTGACTTCATATTTGGAGTACAACAACAACAACCCTGATATCATTAGAAAGCTAGGGATCTCCTCTTTCCAACAGTGTATACAACTCAAAATGTGTCTTCGGGTCAATGCGACTGATTTCGATAGAGCAGGTCACATATGGTTTATCTTCAGATAACAGATATTTGCAAAAAAACCTCACTTTGGTCCATTGCTTCTTGGCTTGAGACACTGCTCTGTTGACTACGTCTCTGCAGGCGGTTTGGATGATGTGTGTGACTGTGAGCTCTGATGTGTCCCCGCTGCTCCTCCTGGGGTCTTCAGTGTGGGGCTGATTTGTTCTGGGATCCCTGAGAAGTTGTGCCTGGACCTCTGACAGAGCCATCTGAAGTTCTGTCATTAATTCATCTCTCGCCTGCTGCCTCTGGACCTGCACCTCCTCTGCATGCCGACATTTCCACTCCTCCTCCCGGGCCCTCACAGTCTGCTGTAGCTTGGCCTCCACCTGCAGGAGCAGCTCCTCTCTGTGCAGCGCCGCCTCCCCTCCGGCCTGCTGCACAGCCTGCTCCAGCTTTCTCTGGTACGCCTGCTCACTGCGGGCCAGGGTCACAGAGATCTCCTGTTGTTTGTCTCGGCTCCAGGCTGCTCGGGCTGCAGCCAGCTCAGCCTTCAGCAGCGCCGCATGCTCCCTCCTCCCCTGCTCCACCTGACTCTGCAGCGCTGCCACCTCCTCTTGGAGCTCCTCCAGTCTCTGCTTCTCCAGCTGGCTCTTGTGCTTCTTATTCCACTTCTCCTCTGCCTGGGAAACCTGGCCCATTAAGAATAACACATGATCAGAAAAGAAAAGCCATTTTACAGCTATTGCGGCAGTAATCTTAAACAAAGTGCCGCGATATTAAGTCAACAAAAATGGTCCTTCTCTAGCTCACCCCCCCATCTATTACAAAGTGCACAGGTAAAAGCAACCGGATCTAAGCACAAACGTCACCACACAAATCCAATGACACACCCAACCACCTAAAGTGACTCAAAAAACATGTGTCGTAACAAACACAGAAATGGCTTTCATATGTGGCTTCCTACACACAGCATTGTCAGTTTTTACCTCAGAGACAAGAAACGGTTCGTTCATACCTGTTGTCCTGTGCGTTCTTCCTGCAGCACTTCCGCATTTCTCCCTTCTGTTTGGAGAGCGGCTCGATATTCTGGTTAATGACGTCAAATCTTCAATCCAGCGTGTATGGCCTCCTGGTTACTGCACCTTCAACCTGAAACACCACCTAGTAAGTGGTTGAATCTTGCCTGATGAAGGCAAGATATCTCCGAAAAACATTTGGGGAATACAGGCATTGTGTTTTATTTAATTTGATAACTATTTAGGTTGCTTTATTTCATCATCTATCATCATCATCATCATCATGTTTATTTTATCACATGAATCACATTTCTGTAAATGTGACAGTTAGCCGAGAGGCTATGTTTTCATCTGTAGTTCCCTGGACAGATTTTGTTAAGTCACCCTAAGGACACACTTTCATTTTAAACAAGGTAAGTACAATCAAATAAAAGGCATGCACATTACAGTACTGGAAATCTTAATAAATTATAATCCTCTCATAAATAGTGGATGAATCAGCTAAATCACATAGTTCAGAAATCTTAACAGAGTAAAACAAGAGCTAGCAAGTCTTGCTGCATTGGATTGATTTCTACTGTCATTCTTCGGACTATAAGGGCACAGCTGAATATAAGCGCGCAGCAGCTATATTGAATGAGTGTACATATATATAAGCCGCACTGGACTAATAAGCCACCATGGTTTTCTTATGTAATTACCATATGTAAGGGGTTCGTGCAGCAGAGGGATTGTCGGGGAAAGAGATTGGGCTGTTTGAGGAAGCACCCCCCCATTTATTAACATTTCAACAAACAAGTTGCATAAACGTAATTCAAGTGTTAGGCGCATTTAGTGGCAATAGTAGCTAGGCAGAACATGTGGGGCTGTGTAAACTGACTGTATCACATAGCGTTTCAGAGACCCACCCCACAAACTTTTCAACTTTCAAAACTTAAACCCGGTGGCGCTCCCCAGCCCGCATCGTACCGGCCAGTGATCTACAGCAGCCCGGTTTTCAACAGTGGTACGGGGACAAACTGTCTCGTCTCGTAATGTCTGTCTGTCTGCTCTCCGTTCCTGTCTTTGTACACCACTCTCGGTTCCACTTTACTTTTACGGCGCATCTGTCTCAGCTCTTTCCGGCCTGCAGGCTTTTCTGCTAGGAGCCCCGGCCGCTTAAAGGTGGGGCGCGGAGCCGGCCATAAGAGCCTAGAGTTGAAAGGTGGTGGACTGTAACCTGTACAAATCCATAGATTTATGAGGTCCCTAGTGCCGTTAGCCCCCCTGTAAATCGCCATAATTAGCCGCAGGCCGTATATACAGGCCACAGGGTCGAGAAAATGGGAAAAATGGCGCGCTTTATAGTCCGAAAATTACGGTAATGTTTCCCCCACACCATTCTAAAAGTAACAGCTATGCGGCCTGACTAGCCACACATATTGTTAGAAGAGGGCTCACTGACCTGGTTGGCCATGTCGCCCAGTATGTTCCTCGTGCAGGCTCCTCCCCTGGGCTGGTTTTCCTGGCTTCCTCCACAGCCTTTGCGTTGGCCCTCTCCCTCCAGCCCCTCCAGGAGCAGCTGGCTGTCTCTGGGGCACTGAGCCTGGAGTCCGGCTCCCTCCTGCAGTGACTCTCAGCACGCGCTGGCACTTCCGTCTCTGCCCTGAGCAGGAAGCCTCAGGCACGTACTGCGCTTATGTTCCTCCTCTCCCTAGCTCCTCCCAGCCTCTCCACCCAGGCCTCTTCTCCATCTGCACAGTAGCAGTAAAAGCTGTCAATTTCTGAAGCCAAATTCACTTAAAGGGAGTTGAGTGCTGAACAGTCATTAACAAGGAGAATCCTACCTTTTTGCAGTCCCCTCCCTCCCAGGGCAGCCCATT